CGTGTTGCCCCAGCCTCGCGGTAACCCCAGAGAAACAGTACTGTGACCGTCACCTTCACTTTACAGAAGAGCAAGCTGAGGTGTGGAGAGGTGAACTAACCCACCCGCGCTCACCCGCCAGCAGGGAGCAGTGCCGCGGCCCAGCCAGCCAGTCGAGGTCTGTTTGTTGAGTGCCTCCTGTGTCCCAGGCCCTGTGCCAGATGTAGGGACACCTCCATGAACAAGACGAAAGAAACTAAGCCTGTCCGCTCTGCTCATGCTCTGAACTGCTCGGAGAGCAGCAGTCAAGCTATCCCTGGAGTTCTTGGGGCAACAGAAGGAGAGGGAGCAAAGCATCAGTGTGTGGAAGGCAGGGAGCACAGGTCCACCACTGCTGCCAGGCCTCCCTGACATGAGTCTGACTGTTCGAGAGATTGGCATGCGTTCGAGAGAGTGTCACAGTTAGCTACTGCTGTGGAACAAAGCAGCCCAAAATCCAGGGACTGAGATATCCACATTCTAGTGTTTCTTACGCTTGTGTGAGTGGACTGGGCTCAGCTGGGCAGTTCCTCTGCGTCCGGCTGGGAGTGCAGTCGGTGCTGACTGTTGTCTGGGGCACCTTGGGCCTCCTTGTGGCCACACGTTCTCCAGGACCTCTCGCTATGTGGTCTCTCCAGCAGGGTAGCCTGGACTCCTTTACCTGGTAATTGACTTCTGAGAGGGTCTAACCGTAATCTCAAATACTAAGCTACATTCCCACTTACCAGCTGAATTACTTTGGGCCAATCCTGTCTGAGCCTCAGTTCCCTCATCTGCAAAATGGGGACTAAATTATGTAATGTGTATGAGGCATGTAGCCGAAGCCTGGTGCATGGTCAGCCCTCAATAAATAAATGTTCTTGTTCCTGTCGATCTAGAAGGATTGTCAGTGCCACAGACCCCCTCAGCGAATCTCCCTGGTTTCACTGGTGGGTCAAACCCTGAGCTAAGTATCAGGAGACTTGAGTTCAAATCCTGCCTCTGCCACCAACTGCCTATGTGCCCTATGACACGGCTCACGCCCTCCGCTTCCCCATGTGTAAAAGAATCCCATCTTGGCCACGTCGCTGTGAGCCTCAGTTCTTAGTGGAAAGTGCTCGGAGAAGTATCTCGTTCTACCCAGACATGCTCTCCTGGGGCACAGGCCCGGGAGCTCCTGAGACCCCCAAACCTCCCACTCTGGTCTTGCTTCATTCTCCATACACGTCTGAGCACGACACCCTCCACTGGGGAGGAAGTAACAGCAAAACTGAGGAGGCCATGAGAAACGACATCTTTTCTGGTAAAAGAGAAAGGGGAAACCCACAGGCCAAGGCAGAAAGTGATGGAGGGAGAGGGAGAGGCCGCGGAGGGTCAGGGAGGGGTGAGGGTCAGCCCCAGACAGGTCGAAAGTCCCCACGGGGAAAAATGCGACCAAACAAAATAAGCCATGCCTCGGATTTCTGCAGTGTTGTGTTGTCGCTTTACAAAATCCACCTGGGTGGTCTCATTGGGTTCTTTCAACAGCCCCGTGAGGGAGATAGTGTGGCCCTCGTTTTACCGACAAGGGAGCTGAGGCTGAGACAGAGCCAGGGGTGGCCTTCGGTCACACAGCTAACTGGCGGCACCTCCGGGACTACCTTCTTGGTTGTCAGAGGGGCTGAGAGAAGTGACACAGGGCACGTCCTTCACTGCTGTTCCCGGGGCTCAGTAGGTACTTGCTGTGCGAAGGGAGGTGGCTGGAAATGCCGCGTGGGTCACAGCCAGGGAGACTGTGAGTCCCGGGAAGGGGGACGTAGACCTAATTGGGGAAGCAGCAGTGCAGCCACGGAAAAGTTTCCACCAAAGAAAAGTGAAAATGGAGGGAAGAGCCGAGGAACATTTAGACGCGGACCAAACACCAGGCCTCTGCTTCTGGAAGAGGCCAAGCGGGAACAGCAAAGAGCTCCCGGGGCCCCAAGTCCTTTCCCTTAGCTGGACACAGCCTGCCTGCTCCACCTCATGGTGGTGGGGTAGGGAGAGGACACTGGGGTTTCACTGTCCCGGGAGGGTCCTTCCCTCGAGCAGGGGGCCTCAGACCTGGATTCACGTGGGAGCACCTAGAGGCACCTACCATCCCGCGCCCGGACCTCCAGAGGCAGAGCGGGATGGTTAAAAACTTCTGGAAGTGATTTTGTGCGCAGGCAGGATGGAGAACCACTGAGGGAAGGACAGGGACTGAGAGAGGCTGGTAATGGGGGTGAGGCGGAGAAGAAAGCAGGGAAGCAGGAGAGGAGGACAGAGAAGGGGGGTGGGCAGACATGGGAGCCAGAGAGGTGAGGGGCGGGAAGAGCGAGTGAGGCTGGCCCGAGGACTCCCTGGGGACTAGGCCGGCTCTTCCCATGTGAAAGCCTCTGGACGGCCCTGGTCCCTGGCGTCCACGCTCCCTGTCCCCTGACCCCAGCCTCACCTGACCGTCTGCTTCTTCCTGTTCCCTCCTCCTGGGGCTCCTTCTGGGAAGCACTGAATGTGATCAGTTCTGGAAAGGGCAACCCCTGATCAATCCCGGAAAGGGCACCCTAAGCTGTGCCCCGGGGCCCATCCTGTGGAGTCTCATCGGCAGACCCGGCTGCCGACGCCCCGCTCCCCGGCCCGCCCGGACTCCCCTGCTCTCTGTGCATCAAGGGCCCGTGACGACCAGCTTGGTGTTCCTGTCACCCCGTGACCCGGTAAACCGCACCCCAGTCACTAGGCAAGTCCGTGCCTAGGGGTAGGCAAGCAGAAGTCTCAAGCAGCCTCCTTGTCTGGGTCCCTTTTCCTCGAGATGACTTCTGCTGATCCTTCGTGGTCACTTTGTTAATGTCACTGCTCAACACCCCTCCCTGTCACGGTCCCACTTCCACAGTCATGTCCTTTTTCTCCTAATCTGTCTCTCCTTCCAAAGCCCAAGATCCCACCCACACACCCTCAGGTGGACCAAACACCACTGCCCCCTTCATCCCAGGGAAACCGAAACCTTGGAGATTCCCCAGGCCTCTCCCCTCAGCACCGTGGCTAATGAGTTGGGCCTGAATTCACGATCTGGCTTATTTCCCTGCAGCTCAATTAAAAGCAACTTCATTAAGGAAACCACATACTTGGCCAAGCTCGAGGCATCCAGACAGCAGGGCAGAAGCTGCTTAATGAGGCCTGCGGGCCCGGGGCCGGGCTTGCCCACTCATCCTGCCCACCTTCTGTGTCCATGGCCTCCAAAATCCTCCCCAGGCCCAGCTCAGAACCCTCTCCCTCCTCAGCCTCCACCCCCTCTCTTTCCGCTGCTTCTCCCTCCCTCACCTGCCCACTCCAGCCGAATCCTCCCCGGGACTGAAGAGAGGGATGTGGGGCCATTTTCCCGAGACAGGTCTGTCCACATCGGGTATTGACCTGCCAAGCTGGCCCGGTGCCTCCCAGTCCCCCTTGTCCCCAGTCTGGGTGAAGGAAGCTTCAGAATGGCTTGCGGGGCGAGTTCTCAGAGCCACCCCACTCCCCACCCCGCCCCTGCCGCCCCTGAGCCTGCTCAGCCACCACCAACAGAGTTCTCTGAATCATGTTACCCCTGTGAGACCTGGCTTCTCGAAAAAGAGAACACAGGAGCAGCCTCTTGGGCTGGAGTATTCAGTGAATTAGTGCATCTAAAGCATTCAGACCCCCTGCATAATGAAAAGTTCTCTCTAAATGGCAGCTCTGATTAAGATTACTATCGTTACTATTTATTTCTAGCCTATCGAGCAGTCTGGCTTTGGTGGGGTAGAAACATGAAACAAATTTAAAAGTCACCACCTTCCACCTTTTCTGTCAAAATCCCCCTGGATACCATCTCTTCACGGCTTCAGGAACAGACCTCAGAGCTTTCTGGTCATTCTCAGTCATCCAAAAGTCCGGTCCAGAAAGGTCTGCTATTCCAGCCTGACACCTCGCTTCTGTCAGGCTTGTGGTGGCTCGGCACATGGAGTGGGGCAGAACGCCGGCTCAGGCCCTCCACATCTACCCCCTGCAGCCCGGGTCCCCTTCCTGAAGGGTCAGCCAGGGTCCCCTTCCTGAAGGTGCCTCAGTCTCTCTGAACAACTCTCCCGGCAAGGTGCCGCAAAAACACCGTGCCTAGGATATGACCGTGGCCAACTTTCCCTTCCCCAGTCTTCTTTACATCCCAGGAAGAAGGAGGGCTAGGGTGGTGGTCGGGTGGGGGGTGGCGGCAGCAGGCCCTCAGGGAAGCCCTGAGGGAGGTGCCTGCCTCTCTCTCAGCAGCTGTCTTTAGACCATGGGGTACTTAGCACCCTTGGCCCCGGCTTTGGGCCCACAGTGCCATTTCTAGGGCATCAGGAAAAATCCCACTCAGCTTCCTGCTCATCATTATTAATCGATTTAATGATGAAGCCAAGACAGAAGTGGTGAGAGTAAATTTAGAAACAGGGAATTGGAACCAGGCTGTCCCTCTTCTGTGGGCCTGACCCTGATCACAGCTGAGATCTGTCCCCAAAGTTAACATCACCCGTGGGAGGGGTGATTTGACCTTAATGGGGGAGCCCAGGACCTCCCACTCAAAGCAGAGCCTGGACTGGCCAGTGTGATTCTGGCAGGAGAGAGCTGGAAGCTTACAACTCCACTCAGCGCGCAGCAAAAAACAAGCCCACTCCCACAATCCTTGCTGTTCCCCCGGAGCCCAGCCTCCCCCGCCCGGCTGCACCACCCACTCCAGAGCATGCCCGAGGCGTTGGGCTGAGAGTCAGAAGTCCTGGTCAGCCCTCGGTTCTTCCACTTACCATATGACCTTGGGAAGGTCATTAGACTTCTCTGTGTGCCATCTTTGAAAGAGGAATGGGTCACAAGGTGCTGGTTGGAATTAAATGAGATTCTAGATGTGAAACTTATTCCTGTGGAGCACTGGGCCGATGTGAAGGGCTACCTTTAAGGAATCCCCCTCCTGCTCCTCATAGCCCTCCCTGTCATTTCCATTTAAGACCACAGCTGTCTTTCTCTCTTCCTAGACCTTCCGGTGGCCAGTGGCCAGCAGCATTGACAGCAATGAGATACTGGAGATTCAGATCTTCAACTATAGCAAAGTCTTCAGCAACAAGTAAGTGTGGGGTGGGAGAGGTGGGGCCCTAAGGGGCTGGGGGCCTGCCCTTCTCCTTGGGCTGCTCTCTCCTTTGGGTTTAAAAGGCGACTCACACCCCCAGCCTACCCCGGATTGATCATCAAAGACCCCTCTCCTTGCCCTCTCATGCTGTCCTCAGAGTCTTTCAGCCCTCCCAACCATTGTCAACCAAGAACACCCTATCCTCCCTTTCACCCTTTCTGTCCCCAGCCCCGCCTCAGCTTCTTGTCCCCTTCTGTAAGTCTCCCCATTTACACCATCCTGGGTGACAGTTACCCAGCAGAGGAGTTAATATAATGGCAGATAATATAATGGGCCTCTGTATCCTTGAGGACAAACTTGTCATACCCGGGCAGGACGAGAGGTTCTGAGGCAGTTTGGTGTGGTGGTTTGGGAGTCAGGCAAGCCTCACCTCAGATTTCCAGTTCAGTCATCTATTGTGTGACCCAGAACTGGTTATATAACCTCTCTGTGTTTGATGTATTCACGTGTAGAAAGGGTAGGTACTTATCTCAAAGGAAGCTGTGAGAATTAAAGGATATAGATGTCCATTCATTCATTCCCCAAATGTTAACTAAGTGCCCACTGTGTGTCAGGCACTGAACTAGGTGCTGAGGATAGCGAGTGCCTGCCCTCATGGAGCTTACATTCTTCAATGAACACGCCTATGACATGAGCACAATCACTACAAAGGGTTCAGTAAAAGTAGTGCCCATCCTTCTCAGAATTCAGAATGACTTGAGGAGTCTGGAATGGTGGCTGCACATAAGAAATGTAAAGTCCCATTTGGGGGGTCAAAAACCAATTGCTTTTATACCAGCTAGAGGGTGTCATGGCTGAAGAGCAACATGTCCAGAAAAACATGGAAATACTACTCACTGAGAGTGCATTACTCAACAGCGGGAGGAGACTACAAATAAAAAAAGGGGGGACATAATCCTAGGTAATTTTAATAGAAGGAGGACAATCAGAGCAGGGGTGTTGAGAGAGGAGGGTTCCAATGCCCTCATGCTGGTTGGAGAGAATACCAGTAGTCAGCTCTTTGTGGTTGCCAAGGGAAGGGACTTTAAATCTGACAAGAGGATGAGAACTGGAGGAGAAAACCATAGAGGACATGTTCATCCATCTATATATCTATCCTTCTGTCCATCCTTCCATCCAACCTTCTGTCCATTCTTCCATCCCTCCATCCTTCCATCCATCCTTCCATCCATCCTTCCGTCTATCCTTCGGTCCGTCCTTCCATCTATTCATCCATCCATCCATCCATCCATCCACCCATCCATCCACCCACTCTTCTAGTCACTCACCAAACACTTACTGAGCAAATATTCTGTACCAGACAGACACTGTGGTGGTCGCTAGAGGTACTAAAATGAGAGACTAAGTCACCATGCCTGTTCCCCAAGAAAGTTTTCTGCCATTTCCAGAGGCAGGACCAGGACGAGGGTGCATTGCTGGGAGACAGTAGACAGCTGAAAGGTAGCTTGAGCTCTCCAACCAATGAGCTCTTGGGAAGTAATGAGCTCCCCATTACTGGGAAAGGCCAAGCAGAGAGTGGACCATGATGTTGTAGGGGGGTGTTGGATTGAGATGGGCTGAACAACATAGACTTCAAGGATTCTGTGGTTTTTATTGGAAGCCCATGACATCTCAGCTGAGCATGGGATATGGCAATTTCAGCCTGCTGGCAGGCCCACAGGGGAGAAATTTAGGGCAGAGAGGCCTCCCCTTGGCCTCTTGGGGTGGCACATCATTCAGGCAGCTCTGGTATCCACAAGAGAAGTTAGTGAGATACCCCACCAGGGGCCCCCAAGAGGAAGCAAAACCTTCTTCCCTGGGATAAGACATCAGGTGACCTGTGAGGACAGAAGAAATAGGAACAGAGAAGGGCCCACACGCAGACCGAAGTGGGTGTGGAAAACGAAGAATTGGAAGCTGGGGGCCAGGAGAGACATCCAGGCACCCCAGCAAGGACCCACACGCAGATGTCAGAGCTTCCAGAAGCTTCAGAAGTCAGCCAGGGCAACCCTTGCTGCACAGGTAGGGAAACTGAATCTCAGAGAGGCTAGTGAGGCCACTGGACAGTGAAAGGGCCGGGGTAAGGCTCTCTGTTTCCTCGTCTCCTTCCTAATCCTGGACCTTCCAGAAACCAGGATTTGTGAGCAGCGATTGTAGAAGCTACAGACATGAAAGAGATCGGTACGTTGTTTCCAGCGAAGCTGCTAGACAGCCCCCAAAATGCTGGAAACCCTTAGAAATAGCCAAATCCTGGCTACAAACAGATCGAAGAATATTTGTTAAATTGAGAAACTGAACACCATCCCAGTGAGTACACCGAAACTTCAGGCTTCAATTAGTTGTTCTAAGATGCCAGAGGAGACAGAGGAGAGATTCTTTTTTTTAAATTTTTTTTTCAACGTTTATTTATTTTTGGGACAGAGAGAGACACAGAGCATGAACGGGCGAGGGGCAGAGAGAGAGGGAGACACAGAATCGGAAACAGGCTCCAGGCTCTGAGCCATCAGCCCAGAGCCCGACGCGGGGCTCGAACTCACAGACCGCGAGATCGTGACCTGGCTGAAGTCGGACGCTTAACCGACTGCGCCACCCAGGCGCCCCAGACAGAGGAGAGATTCTAACCTAATTCTCCCCTCTTCCTCCCTGACCCACCCACGAGGAGGCAGGAAACCCCTCCCAGGGAGGTCTGGGCCTGAAGGGAGAGGGTCCTCTCATTTCCTCGGAAAGCCCATGGAATGTTGAAACACTGTTGGCTACAGGGCTGGGATGGGGAAAGGGGTGCCCGTCTCGTGGAGAGCACAGACAGAGCCCATCCTGACACAGGCCAGCTTGGGGGCCGGCGTGGGAGGGCAAGGTACTCCGAGTCGGGTGGGGCCCAGGTCTGCCCACCCTGCAGTTGCCAGTCTGCTTCCCAAGGGGCAGCCGAACGGAGGGGAAGCCTCTGGGGTTCGCACCGGGCTCACCAGCCAGCAAAGCCACACCTGCCATACCTGGCCCCGGGCAGGCCCCCAATTACTTTGTGGAATGAATGAATGAATGAATAAATGCCCCCATGGGGTCAGGAGGCAGAAGGTATGCAGGGTGGAAGGGTCTGGAAGCAGAAATCCAAATGGCCTTTCTTCCCTGAAGAACTCATGGCACCCTCCAGGGTGAGAGCCAGGTCACATGATTGAGGCAATCGGGGAAACTGAGGTAAAGGAAGCTGGGATGAGAAACAGGATTCATGGCCCTGAGCCCATTACCACCTATCTCAGAGAAAGACTTGCTCTAGAAGTAGAGGGTGGCTTGGACACTGGCCCCTTACCCAGTGGCTGTAGGGGCTTCCAGGAGGAAGAGACATGGTAGGTCTGCCTGGCCCACCTTGAACGAGGTCGTCCTTCAGGAACCGTGGGCCTCCTGTGAGAACAAGGTGCTGGGTCCACAGGATCTTGTGTGTCCCCCTTCACCTGTCCAGAACTATCCAGAACCTTTGGGGCGGGGGGATGGCCTGATGCAGGTGCCAGTCTCCTGGGACTTCTGAATAATTCAGGAGCCAGGAGAGCAGTGGAGGCCTGGCCAGACCTTGGGCACTTGACACGGGCTCCCAGGGGGAAAGCAATGAATTATTGACAGGCCCTGGTGCCTGGTTGCCGCTCTATTGTGGTCAGTCTGTGGACCCATTCATGCCTGAGGCCCCCTCCCTGCTGGCTAATTATCCAGGAATTCTGCCCCCGCCAGGCCTACCTGGCCACTCCGTGGAGGCCAGCCCAGCCTCCTGGGGGGGGGGGG